TTTTTATCAGAAAAAGCACTTTTAGCAATTTTCGCGAGTTTATTCATCGTTTTGGAATGTCAAAACTCCTTTGATTGACTCTCTCGAGAGGCAGAAACACTTGAGAAGAAAACAATTGGCAATGCATGCAACAGCAACTCAGTGGCAAAGCTGTCAATGGCTCTCCCTCATTCATTCGTTCCTTAGAAGCAAACCAATAACGGTGGTTTGACATTATGGCATGTATCAGTACCAATTTATCACAGAAATCAGTGGACAAATCGTTCATTCGCCTTGGTAGCAAGGCTGGCCGCTCCAGTAGCGGAGTCGATCTCCCAGCCCTATAAATGAGGAATACGCTACGCCTCACTGCGTCATGCAAGTCAAAATTTGTTATTTTAATAAAGCAAATTATCAATAAAAATTTCAGAAAAAGCCATGGGTTATTTTTTAAAAACAAAAATGAGTGTACGATCGATTAGGGCTAGTTGGCACAGTATCATGCAAGTAACACCAATTTGACATTAGAAAGTCAAGGATTTGATTACGGCAGTAGGGCAACTCCCTTTACAACTCGTAATTCGTTTCAGCGCTAAGTTGGTATTGACATAATGTCAGGAAGTAACATTCATTTTATTGTAATCAGCCCTCGAAAGAGGAAACCGTCGATAGCCTTACTTAGCGAACGGTTAATTTTAAAATGCGCAAGCCCTGATTTTATTTCCAAAGGCCTCCATCCTTCGCAAACTGAATGACGGAGACGCCTTGTTTGTTTTAATTAGAATAGTGTATTTATCTTTTGATTACACTAGCGTATAAAGCCTGATGTGAGATATATTTTGATATCAGGCTTCCAGTCGTTTTGTCCAAAAATTTATGAATTCAATAGTCAGTCCAAAATTTCAAAAAAGAAAACCATCAGTAAGGCAGTTGAGCAACGAATTTCCTTCCAGGATACGATAATTTCCGCCCGAGAAAAATGCTGAATGGTATGTATCCGGCATCGATGTAATTTGTGCAGCTGCAATAACAACTTTTTTTAACAGATCATTTTTAGGAACACATAAAAGTTTCAGCTTTGTGTTTTCTGTCCGGTATAAATAGGAGAGACTGCCAATTTGTTGGAAAAATCCGCTTAAACTACTGCACCTAATTATGTGGACAAAAAAGGACCGAATTAGAGAAGAATGAAGTCGCCAACTGCATCAAAAGCGAGAAGAAACGAAATTATGAAACAGCAGCTAAGCAAATTATCAAGCGAGCAAGTGAGCTGGTGGAAAAATGCAAGATAGAGCGGAAAAAGATCTGCAAAAAATTTATTAAGAGAGCGAGCACTACTACAGCAACATCTATACTCTGGTTCCGGCTTGGAGGGATAGCGTATCCTGGTTCCACGACTTCCCAACGGATTAGCTTCATTGAATAAAAATATGTCTTTTATGCTTTTATGCATGTGCTTTGCTCATTTTTCCAGAATTTTCGTACAATAAATTACTGCTACTGTGTAGTAATCACGCCGATAAAACAGAGATATCGTATGACACACCCAAACATTTCAAATCAGTTTTCTCTTTTATCAACATTTATTTCTGCCTCTATCTCTCGGCATTACAGAGTATTATTTGTCACCATTTTAATACTACCTGTCATAACTATCCTATTACTTAAAAGCTCTCATAATCTACAGTGATAATAATGGTAAATGCGACTTGTACATTACATGTATAAAATTAAAATACTCCAAATTTGTCCATATTTTGTATGAATAATGTAAAAATTCTGTATATGAGAAACTAGCTCCAATTTGCAATTGCAAAATCGATCTCAGTGCAAGTACTTATCAAGTGTTTTATTTGTATTTTGTAAAATAATTCATGGGTTCTGTACGATATGCGAATTTTAGATATACTCATTCTGTGGGTAATACTTATATGACGGGACTACTGGCTTTTCGCCGAAAAACCGAGAATGGATGAGCAAGTAAACTCACAATATTCTTCATTCCGGACCAGTTGTAGCTTGAATATTATTGCCAGCGGGTTCGGTTGCGTGAAAACTTTGCAATGATCCAGGAACAGTCTCCAGCTAGTCCGCATTTCAGGCCATTTCGGTGATCCTATGAAATTCAGCGTCCTGGAAATCCCCACCTTTCTTTACTAAAATAAACCACCAATTGATTTAAATTATTCTCTACAGCAAAAATTTTTGTCGGTTTTATCTATGAACTGTTGCTGAGGAGCAACTTCACAAGAAAGGTTAGAAAAGTTGAAAGTATCTCGCGCAGGTCTTTTAATGATTATTTCTGACTCCACATTATATCTCGAGAAGTGAGATACTCGGTATTTTAGTCCTTTTTTGATCTGTGATTCCTAAAATCAACCTTAGACTAGCAAAACCGAGCAAAAAAGGCAAAAAAAAGTGGTAAAAAATAGGGTGAAAGATGCAAAATAGTGCAAAACTAGTAAAAATGTCAAAAATTAAGTAAATGAAGCTTTGTATTGAAAACAAAAATTTTATGTATACATTCAGTAAAAAGTGCTACCCCCCCCCCTTTTTTTTTCATATGACAGAAACAATTTCTCTCGATACTACCCGTTATTTGATTTCCAAACATCTGGACATCTGGTAATGGCATTTGTTCCCCTTCCCCTCTTCCTCCTCTTCTCCTCTGTCCCTCCGCCCATCCCGTGAAAGTCGTCGCTGCGCATTTAAAGTTTTAGGTGCCATAACAATCATACCATTCGTATGCAAAGGCTCCGTATGCCGTGTGAAAATGTGTTTGTTGAAAAAACGACGATCCTGAAAAAAGCTATTTTCATTTTTCAACCCGTTCCAGTTTCCTGGACATCGGACGAGTCCGTGTGAACAATGCGTGTTGCACAGACGAGTGAGCTTACCGATGAACCGTACAATCGGTATGTTCCAGTGGAAAATGAATGTAAGGCAAGTGAGCATCGGTTCGTCCGACTTATCAGCCGCTGCTAAGCTGCTCGCATCACCACTGGGCTCCTCCAGAAGTACCTCGCAACTGCTCATCGCAACACCCAATAAGCCAGTGACGTGAAATCCGTAACAATGATCCCTTTATACCAATCATCCTGAGGCCAATCCTTGCATATTTGATACGTGAAGGAGCTATCAGCTCATCGGTGATACATCATCAGTGACGCAATCGAGAATCACGTCAATTTCTTCATTCCATGATTATTTTGACCAAAACTGCATTACCTGGTGGTCAACCTTCTGGCGATCCTGATATTCCTTTTATTTCCAGACGTTCTTTCGTTTCCATCCGGATTTTCTTTTAATTGAGCATAATCAGTAGAGCTACTGTGGATAAACGATTTTACAGAACTTGCGTTACTTCCGAAATTTGGAAAAATTATTAAAATATTTGTAGCGTTTTCCCAGATAGCACCGTTGAGGACATTGTGACCTGAAAGATGGCAATGTTTGCAGACTATTAAAATACACTGTTAGTTCCCCAAGTTGTCATAGCCTTTCCAATCTGTTGAGCCTGGTAAGCCCTGCATGGGATGAATAGATCGCCACGAGGCTGACCACTAGGTAATGCAACATTAGTCAAAATAACCGTGAAATGAAAACAGAAAATGGTTGTCGCTTACAACATGAGAGAACATTCCGAATATGAATCACTGGTGAGCCAGCAACCGTTTCTAGCATGAAGTGCCTGCAGCGCTGGTTTGTGGCTGATTCTGCAGAAGCATTCCTTCAGCATCTCTGAACATGGGAGACGGTACTAAAGAGACCCAATAGACTCACTTAAACACTTGAGGAGACAAAACCATAGGACTGAAAAGGGCCGGAGCACTGGTACTGACGAAGCGCAGTAATTCTCCGTAAGAAATGCTCAGAAATGTAATTATCCGTAAGAAATGCTGTTGTAAAAGGGAGAAGGTGCTGTTATCATCAAGGAATGAAGCTGGCATCTGAAACCCTTCGCCTTGCCCAGATGTCCTTTGATTCCATATGATATTTCAAATGCCCCGTCTCAGGACTCGAGCTTCCCCTTCGTGGTATCAAAATGATGTGTCTAGAAATGAAGAATGGGACTGTGTTCCATTTATGGTAT